GGACCCAGGCTCCGATTCAGACTCAGTCCGAGCCTATTCCCTAGGACGAGTTTTCTCCTCAGAAGCAATAGTTTCAGACACTGGTTCTGACTCAGTTTGAATAGCCGGATAAGGTCGATTGGCCTCCCCCTCTTTGCATAATCAATGAAGCTTGTAGCAACTGGCCAAGGCGTCACCTGATTTGGATCCGACCTTTCCTTCGAAGACTTGTTCTCGGTGTTATATCTCAAAATGCTCAAAGTCCTCAAACCTCTTCCCGTTGTCCCCTCAAAGGACCTATACCCATCAAAGTAGATTTTCTCTCAGTCAGAATCAGTTCTTAGTGATGATTCTTTGTATCACAATAGTAGTCTTAGTTACACAATGGATATAGTCTGAACTTGCGGTCGCGTCGACAACACGGTCGGTCGTCATCTCTTGTCTGGCCACCTTAGCAACTTTCGAGTAGAAAACCTTCTTTCACGATATGTTTTGAGAAACCTAGGTAACCTTCTCAATTTGTCGCTGGTCTTCCTTAGCATCAAATGTCGTCCGCAAGGCTACGATCATTGCCCCAAATGTGTATCGATCTAGAACCTTGTTCATCACCATTCGACGATGTATTGGAGGATAGATAGCTGCCTCCCCTCGACAACCGAAGTCATGCCTCAAATTAGGGGAGGCACACTCTTCTTCTTGTTATATACTCCACCAAAAGGATAGGTCGAGATTCCCCAGTCTATGAAAGACTCGAGGAGGAAACACTTCTTCCACTCCCTTATTTTGTACGCAAGTCCTAGCATGTGGAACTTTTTGGTCGACCCAAACAACACATAGCCGTCTAACTCGACTCTGATGGAGAACATGTAGGAGAAGAGCTCCTGCAACCATAGTCTCTCTTTGGCGGCAATAAACAACGAATTTATAAATAGTATTGCCGAAATTGAAAATCAATTACAATGATGACTCTTCAAAACAGGAAATAAATGACAAACAGAAACAAACCACACAATAGAGAATGATGATGGTGCTGGGTGGTGGTTTGCTAGTAGGGGAAGAGCTTGTTAGACACTGCCGGTATCGTGGGAGTGCAAGAAGGGTTGGGCGACAACTCTGAAAAACAGGTTGCAACGAGTTGAGGGCCTGACTGCTTTGGTTTGGAGGATTCGACGTCAATTAAGAGAGGGTTGGAAGGCCTAGGGTGGAAGCTATTGCCTTCTGGGATGGGGAGGAGCAAGTTAGGAGGGTCGAGGGTGATAGCGACACGCCAAACCAGTCAAAAGGTTTATGGATATAGCAAGTAAGAAAGGCAAGAGGCGATTCGCGACTACAATAGATAGGCGGGAAGTTGGAGTGGTAGTGTGGAGGCAGACCCTTTGCAACAAATAGTTTGCGGCTAGGAATAAGGAGTGCGACAATCAACAGAGCCCTGGAGGCTTCAACTAAACAACAGGAAGGGAATTTTGGGCTTGGCGGTCGGACATAGAAGGTGAGGGCGCTATATGGAATTAGTTGATGAAAAGTGGATTGCGGAGGGGAGTTGAGAAAGATAATCACCATATTGGGATAGAGATACAGCTGGAGCACAACCCAATCCGTCAAATATACAACCCTCTAAATAAAAAACAGATGCTGACGACTGTCCTGACAGAATTTTGAAACAAACTTACAAAAAATTGGACTCTAACATTACAAAAAACAGATAAATAGAAGATGGATGGGCACGAAGTGAAAACATGGAGGGGAGAAGTAATTCTCGCCTAATGGAAGAGAGGGGCTGGTTCAGCCCCTCTACCTTAATGGTTTCCTCTGAACCGGGTTGTGCTAGTTCATCCTCCTAGCCCCCATGTTAGTCCCCTAGGGTTGGGGAGCTTCGACCTCACTTGTCCAAGCTTTTTTCTTCTCCCAGTAGTCAAGTTGGTCATGTTGTAAGCTCCCGATAAATCAATTTTTTAGGCGACATCATTCCAAAGAACATCTTCATAGAATATGTATTCATCCTCTTTTGGCATAATCTGAGACGGAGGTACACAACGTTGTAGGTTCTCCCAAGCCAAATTCTTAACAAATAAATATATAATATGCTTCTCCTTGATAAACAATGCTGTCAGGGGGATCAACTCTGGAATGACATCTCTAGCAGGTTGGGCTATCCTAACGTGTAATCACTCATGAGAAGCATTTTCTTCTTCTCAGTAAGGACATGGATCCCACGATAGAATTATCTTTCTTTCAAAAATCCCAGGGTGATTTCCCACCACTGTGATTCATCCATCCTATCTGAGCGTATGTCAGGAGGTACACCGTTGAACCGATTTTTATCCCAAATGACTCGCAATTGTCTTCTAGAAGTAACTCAAAATCTTTTCATCTCTGACAAGTTGGATCTCATTTCTTAAGTACAACTCAAGAGGTAGCTATATATCTGAAATGCTTGAAATCTTTTTTTCTGGAATTGACTCGTGTTTACTATCGCTCCTCAAGCTCATGACTCTTTTGGACTTCCAAAGTTAGTCCTGTTGATGTCCTCTAAATGCCTGCTACATGGTAGCTCGAGACACTATAATCTCATATTCTGCATGAACGCCCCTTATATCAAATTCACACCTTCTTGAAAAGCTACTATTACCTCAGTTGGAATCTTTCTTTGAGGTCAACTGCAATCGATAACGTCTCTTCCTCGTTGGCTATAAGTTGAGAATCTTCTTTGAAGTTTTCATCTTCTCCTGGATCAACTATTATTGCCGATTTTTCAACAATACCGCACTCATTGAAATAGATCACTCCTCTGGTTGCGCATTCAGATTCACCATACCCAAATTTGTGGCACTTGCAACATTTTCTGATTGTGATAGATTTACAGTTGCGAATTGGTTTCACCTGTTCACCACTCTGAATCAGCTTATCTTTTGACGGGGTTGTCTTGTGTGTTCTCTTAGGTGTACTCTGGCTATAAGATTATGAGGTTGAACTCTGCCTGTAGGATGTTGGGGTTGCTCGGTGATGTGGTCTCTCCACTTTTGATGCTAGAGTTGCCCCCTCTGTCCGTAGTAAGCAGGGAGGAACTGGTATTATGTCTCTCGCTTCATCTTCAAATTCTCTCATTCTCTCTTTCGATTTTTCTGATCATGATTGAGGGTAACCTCCCATTGGATTTCATCCTCAATGTCTGCAAGCCTTCGCTGTAGTTGATGAATTTCCCACTGCATCTCTTCCCGGATAGGCTCGGGTGTGTATATGTTTAGTAGCATGGCTAGGGTTTATAGTTGGGAGGTGAAAGAGGATGTAAGGGACTATTCGACAACGTGGAGGATTTTATTTGGGGTTGTTGAATTTGAAAATCAACAAAGGAGAATTAGGTTAGGTCAAAATGTGGCTAAGGTTTTGGAATAGGAAAGAAAATTTTGGTGGAGGCGGCTTGGGTAATGCGGATGCTAGAAAACTCTAGGGTAGGACTAGGGTGAGGCTAGCTCTTATACCAAATGATACTAGAGTTAACCCAAATCACAATAAAATTAGAAACAGTATTGTTGAAATTGAAAATCAGTTACAACGAGTCTTCAAAACAGGAAATAAAAGACAAACAAACACTAACCACACCCTAGGGAAGGTCGACAGTGCTGGTTGGTGGTTGGCTAGTAGGTGGAGGGCTGGTTGGAAGTTGCGGATATCGTGGGAGGGCAAGAAGGGTTGGCTGCAGCCCTGGAAAATAGGTTCAATGAGTTGAGGGGCTGACTGCTTTGGTTTGGAGGATTTGACGTTAATTATGAGAGTGTTGGAAGGCCTAGGTTGGAAGCTGTTGGCTTACGGGACGCGGGGGAGCAAGTTAGGAGGGCTGAGTGTGTTAGTGATATGCCAGACCAACTGGAAAGGTTCACAATTGCACAGACTTGTGGGGGTAATTCGCGACTACAAGGCAGGGAAGGGAGTTAGGGGGGAATTCGCGACTACAAGGCAGGCGGGAAGTAGGAGCAGTAGTGTGGAGGCAAACCCTTTGCTGCCAGGAATAAGGGGTACGACAATCAACAAAGACCTGGAAGGTTCAGTAGCACAACAGGAAGGGACTTTTGGGCTTGGCAGCTGGATGGAGAAGGTGAGGGCACTGGCTAGAAACAGTGGAAGAGAAGTGGACTGCGGAGGCGAGTTGGGGAAGATAATCACTAGCTTGGGAGAGATACAACCGGAACACCATCCAATCCGTCGGATAAAGCCTTGGAGTAAAATGGATGCCGGGGGTTGTCCCGACAGAATTCTGAAACAAACTCACCAAAAATTTAACCCTAACACTACAAATAACATATAATTAAACGATGGATAGGCGAGAAGGGGGGGGGGGGGGGGGGGGGCGGGCACGTACATGCGCTTGTCCCATCGTCATCTTTAATCTTTCATTTGCTTGCTCATGCATCCCATTCTAGAGTTCTATTTCTATTCCTTAGACCATTAGACGGCTTGCCTCACTTATAAACTTTTTCTAATTATTGAAATTGAGCTTTTCTGAAGTATATGCATTTCCCAATAAGAATGCGGTGAAGAAATAATCTCTGATCCGGTTTTAAGGCTTCTGCAGTTGGTGATAAAAGTAAACATTTTATTTGTCTTTAGGTTCATTTTTTGTCCACTTGCTCTCTCTATCTCTCTTTCCTTTATGAGATAACTTTACGCTAATCTTAACTTATGACTTCTATATCTAATAGAGCCTGTTTCCTGTGTAACATGATAGGGCTGGTACAGAGAAAATGTTTCATTTTTTAAAATTGAATGAATTTAACTGATAGATAATATATTTTATTGTAATTCACCGGGGCATATTGTATAAAAAATGATCTTGATCTATCAGAATTAAATGCAAAATATGACAATAGGACTCGATGGAGAAAAAAGGATTCGTGTAGCTGACCCCACTTAGTGAGATAAAGGCTTGTTGTTGCTATTGTTGTGACTGTCTTTTAAGATCTTAATTTTTGCAGTGCAGTTCAAATTTTTTTGCTAGTGCGCTTATTCTATAATGCGCATTTCAGGTCTGGTAATTCCGTGCGTGGAAACCCTGGAGTTTCAAGTGGCGATGAAACAGTATGTAATCAATAGCAAATTCTATTGCTTTTTCTTGGCGAATTAGGGTAGATCAACAGTTGTTAATGTCGCTTAACTAATGAGCATGGTCTTATTTCTGAGAGGCTGTTTAATGCAGGTACCCTATCACTCTCTTTCCTGGTGCAAAACATGGCTAGGATCGAAAGTGAACATAACTAGGGCTCCGCAGGTTTTTTTTATTCCAAAAAGCTGTTGATATAGTTTTTGAAATTGTTGCTAAACTACTTTGTTTTAACCTGAACAAACAAATGTAAGAGATAGTGTCTATTCTGTATTTATCCATCATAAAATCTTGAGCGGTGCCGGTTCGGCCCCTCCACCTTGTAGGTTATTGCTGAACTGGGTTGAACCGGTTCAGCCTCCTTGTCCCATCGTCATCTTTAATCTTTCATTTGTTTTCTCATGCATCCCATTCTAGAGTTCTATTTTCATTCCTTAGACCATAAGACGGCTTGCCTCACTTGTAAACTTTTTCTAATTATTGAAATTGAGCTTTTCTGAAGTATATGCATTTCCCAATAAGAATGTGGTGAAGAAATAATCTCTGATCCGGTTTTAAGGCTTCTGCAGTTGATGATAAAAGTAAACATTTTATTTGTCTTTAGGTTCATTTTTTGTCCACTTGCTCTCTCTATCTCTCTTTCCTTTATGAGATAACTTTACGCTAATCTTAACTTATGACTTCTATATCTAATAGAGCCTGTTTCCTGTGTAACATGATAGGGCTGGTACAGAGAAAATGTTTCATTTTTTAAAATTGAATGAATTTAACTGATAGATAATATATTTTATTGTAATTCACCGGGGCATATTGTATAAAAAATGATCTTGATCTATCAGAATTAAATGCAAAATATGACAATAGGACTCGATGGAGAAAAAAGGATTCGTGTAGCTGACCCCACTTAGTGAGATAAAGGCTTGTTGTTGCTATTGTTGTGATTGTTTTTTTAGATATTAATTTTTGCAGTGCAGTTCAAATTTTTTTGCTAGTGCGCTTATTCTATAATGCGCATTTCAGGTCTGGTAATTCCGTGCGTGGAAACCCTGGAGTTTCAAGTGGCGATGAAACAGTATGTAATCAATAGCAAATTCTATTGCTTTTTCTTGGCGAATTAGGGTAGATCAACAGTTGTTAATGTCGCTTAACTAATGAGCATGGTCTTATTTCTGAGAGGCTGTTTAATGCAGGTACCCTATCACTCTCTTTCCTGGTGCAAAACATGGCTAGGATCGAAAGTGAACATAACTAGGGCTCCGCAGGTTTTTTTTATTCCAAAAAGCTGTTGATATAGTTTTTCGAAATTGTTGCTAAACTATTTTGTTTTAACCTGAACAAACAGATGTAAGAGATAGTGTCTATTCTGTATTTATCCGTCATAAAATCTTGAGAAATGTTGCCCATAAATCATCATCCACTGACATTTGTTTATTCTTACTCTGTCATGGAAGAGTATTACCGGTGTCAGTTGTTTTTAATTTACTTCTAAGACGTTTAATTTTTTTGTTGATCCATGTAATATTTTGAAGATAGGAGGGCTATATTATCTAGGTGCTCCAACTCAATATAACTAGTTCAATTGAGTCTGCAACTTAGCGTGAGAACTATAGACCATTTTTGCACACATGAAGGGTTTATCTTTTTCTCACCCTTCTTTACCTATCTTCTTCCTTGTATTCTGTTTTTTGATACAGTACACAAACATCTAGGCGTTTTTTGATACAGTACACAAACATCTAGGCTAATTTTTCATTTGGCTCATCAGGAAAATCCTCTTTTGCTAATTGTTTATTTGGCTCATCAAAACACTGTTATCATCAAAGTAACATTCCGAAAAGTGTATAACTGCTAATGATTTTTCCTCGTAATTGTAAATTTTTGATTATGCATTGCCTTCATTTACGTTGAAGTAATTATTAAATCTACATTTTGGTATCCTAGTTGGAGCATGATGGATGTGATTTGCAAGAAAAACTAAATGTAGACCATATTCATGGTGAGGATATCATTCCAAACATTTCAAGAAGCCCTCGTGTAAAATATATTACATACTATGAGGATTCTGAAAGTATTCCAGGAAGGAGAACTGCTGTATGGGAACTTGATAAAGGTATATTCATCTATTGTGTTCACTTTATTCTAAGGATCAGCAATGTGTTGCTTTTGTTGAAAACCGATGCTTTGTGTTTGAGCAATTTGTGTTGGAACTTATTAAATTCTCTCTCCTAGCAAAAACATTTTACACTTTTTACTGTATAAGGTTTTATTTATATCAATTTGAGCTAACACTTGAACCAAAAACTTATTTCCAATAGATGAATACATTTTCTTGTTCAAGTTTCTGCCTGATTATTGCTATTTCCAATTTATGGACAAATAGGATGTCACCCCCCATTACACCCCAATTCAATTCAATTAAGCTGTAACAGATGATGATAATTCTATTTAACTCATTTTTCACTGGCACCCATCCGACTTTTACTCATTAGGATTGAGTTAATAAAAAATTAGTCTATCTAAATCATCACAAACTGTACATTTTATTTCAACTCATTGAATATTTCTTAGAAATAGTAATATGGAAGCATATATAAAATAATTATTAAAATAAAATATATTGCTTCTAAATTAACTTTGAATGTAAATTTGTACATACCAATAGTCTTAAGTTTATATCCTAAATATCTAATGTAATACTCAAAAAATTGTGGAACAAAAATGCTGTAATGACAATACTGGTGTTGAATCCAAATAAGTCTGGGAGATCTTCCTAAGGAATAGAGCACTGAATGATAAGAGAGAGGGAGAGAAAGAGAGAGCAATGACACTGTATTAACAGTAAAATTACGTAACATTTATTCGTGAAACAGATCACTTATTTATAAGAATGAGTCTTTGTCCATTTACACACTCTACCCTAAAATACTTAGATAATGTGGGGTATTTTAGTCCGTACATGAATATCACCTATCGGATCTACGGGTGCGGCCAAATAGCTATTAGGCTATGCGGCTAGGTGGTTTGGTTGTTGTTTGGCTAGGCGGTCATTTTGCCTGGCCGCTGTTTCGTCGGGCGACGACTATCAGGTCGGGTTGGCTGGCCGGGCGACCGCTGTACCTGGCGACTATTAGGTCGGGTAGCTAGGGTCCACATCAACCGTCTTGAAACTGGGGGATCCGTTTCACTTCCTCAATTTATTTGAGTTGGAGGGCGGTGGGCTCGTCTTAGCGAACTTGTTTATGTGGGTTCTTCAGGAGCGATCCACCCTCATCTGTTTGAGATGCACAACCTACCTGGTTTGTGGGACCTGCTGGCTGTGCGTGCAGCCCTGGGTAGATTCCACGGGACATGCTAGTTGGGCGTGCGACGCTAGGTAGATCTTGCGGGGCCACGTCAGCTCCTTCACCATCCATGAGACGCCTTTGTGATTTATGCTGACATGTTTCGATTTATTCTGTTACTATTGGATGATTTAAATTTCCTTATTTGTATTTGTGGTTTTCTTATTTACTCTTTATTATATTGAAATTTTTAAATATGTGGATAGTAAATTAAATATTACCACCGTCTGACTGTAGTTCATAACTTAATTAATTCTAAGCTATCTTTCTGGGTTGTGAGAAAAGTAGTATTAGAGTAATTAGGTTGGTTCATGATTAAAAAGATCCATTAGGAGGATTAAAAATTTCATAAGTAATATTAAAAACGAAGTTAAATTGTGTCTAATTAAAATCTTTCTTATGTTATAGCAGAAGTATGAAAAATCAAGGGAAAGAAGTTAGAGACGATATAGTAGAAATTAATGTACTCGACAGAATACTATGAATACAAATATATTTGCTGAGATGATGACTGCAGTGACTTAATTGATTTGTAACTCTCGGACTCATGCCAGTTCTGTTGAGGGGGTCTGATGGACTAGTATTTGAAGTTATTTCAGGTTAGACCACTTCTCTTTTCTGAAGAAGGTTCGGTGGATGCTGAGAATTGGATGTTGATAGTGGAAAAAAATCTAGATGAGCTGTCTCGTCTACCTGATAAAAAAGTTGCACTAGCCACTTTTGCTTTAGAAGGTGAAGCGGAAATGTGGAGACGAGGACAGTTGTAGGAGAAATATGGGGTAAAGCCTGCCACATGATACAGTGTGTCGAGTTAGTGAATACTTTTAGAGACTGATTTGTACCACTGCCAGCCAGAAGATAAATGCAGAATTAATATATACTCTTGGTAAAAGGTGTTCGATCTATTATGCTGTATGAAGCTGAATTCACCATGTTCTCGAGATATGCACCCCAATTGATTCCAAATGTAGAAGAAAAGTGCATAGATTTTTTTTTGAGCTGAAAGATATGATTAGACAACAACTTATTTCTTTTGGGATAAATGATTACTCTTCTTGTTAAGAGGGCCAGAAGAATTGAGCTTAATTTTGAAGCTATTAAGTGGAGGATGTCTTTCAGAAGAGAAGGAATTTAGATGGGTCAAGATTTCCCCAAAGCTCTTAGGAAATGCAGTCCTTTCAGTCAGGAAATATAAATGCTAGGAAGGCAAATCTAGTAGTGTGACACTCAGATTGTAGCGAAGATATGTGTTAAGTGTGAAAGGTATCACTAGTGTGAGTTTCTGTTTTAATCCAACACCCACTTTTCGTGTCACCAGCCAGGACATACGACAAGGAATTGCCCTAGATTGAGACAGAGGACTCCAACAAATTCTATGGGTAGTATTGCACCACCTCAGAGGAGATTTGATAGACTGAGATCAGCTGAATCATCATGATCAATATATTCTTGTTAGACCTAGCGGAATGTTCAGCCCAATTTTTGCACTTTCATAGCAGGAAGTTAAGGACTCTCTTGACATCATCACTGGTAGGTTTCACTTTTAATAATTTTATCAAGTGCACCTTTAATCATCATATAATTCATGTCATGTCATTCATAACATAATTTAAAACTTGATTATATTAATAAATCGACCATATTTGTTCACCGCAATGATTTTATTGATAGGTATCATATATCTTCAAAATCGACCAATAAGATTATTGTTTGATTCGGTAACATCACTCTCTATTATGGCCATGGAGTTGATTAAAGTGATCGAATTGAATATCATTTTGTTGTTTGTGATATTGTTGGTTAGAATGCTAAATGATATTTTATGGAGACTATTCGGTTGTGAGGTAAAGTTAAATGATTGGTGGAAAAGATTTTGAAGCACAACTTATTGTGTTATCCTTGATGGAGTTTGCGGTGATTTTAGGCATAGATTGATTGGTTAACTTAAAACTTGGTTATCATTGATTTTAATAAAAGTACTATCACAATAAATGTACATGGGAACCTTGGGATGCAGAAATTAAATTTTGTGGTGATAGAAGTCTAACATCCATGAAATTATTTGTTTGTAGGCTTTCAATTTGTTGAATTGTGGAAATCAAGATTTACTTGTTCTGGTAATAAATACTTTTAAGGAAGTACGGTCTTTAGGTGACATTTCAGTGGTAAGAGAATATAAAAAAAAATTTATTGATGATTTACTAGGGCTACCACCAGTGCGAGTGATTGATTTCACTATTAAGCTATTAACAAATTTCGAGTCTGTATCTAAGACATTCTATAGAATGACAATTAAAGAGTTATAGGAGTTGAAGAGTTAATTACAGGAGTTACTAGATGAGGATTTTATTAGACCTAACACCTCACTTTGGGGAGCTCCAATATTATTTGTGAAGAAGAAATATTAGAGTTTTAAAATGTGCATTGACTACATGGAGTTGAAAAAGCTTACAATTAAAAACAAATATCCACTGCTGAGAATTGATGATTTATTTGATCAGTTAAAAGAAACTTTTGTATTTTCAAAGATTATTATAAGGCCAGACTATCATTAGTTGAGGATTAAAATAGAAGAAATAGCAAAGATGACTTTCTGGGCAAGATGTGGGTACAATGAATTTGTGGTGATATCATTTGGATTGACTAATGCTCCAACGGTTTTTGTGGATCTAATGAACATGATTTTTAGGCAGTTTTTAGATACATTTTTCATTGTGTTTATTGATGATATTCTAGTGTATTCTAGAGATGAATCCAACCATACAGATTATTTGCATAATATACTGTAGGTTTTGAAGGAGAATACACTAATGCCAAATTTTCTAGATTTGAATTTTAACTTAACAGTGTGGCTTTTCTATGGTACATTATAGTGGAGATGACATTTGTGGATTAGAATAAGATCAAGAAGATTGCAGATTGATCAAGACCTACTACTTTAATGAGGTCGGGAACTTTTTAGGTCTAGCTGGTTATTACAGAAAATTTGTATAGGGGTTTACATAGATTGCAGTCATTATCAAGATTGACTCAAAAGATTGAAGTTTGAATGACCGTATCATTGTGGGGAGGCTTTCTAGGAGCCGAGGTCTTGTTTAATGTTTGTTCTAGTGTTGGTTATTCTTTTAGGATCCGACGAGTTTTAGATTCTTAGTGATACATCTTTGAAATATTTGGGTTGTTTATTTATGCAGCATAGAAGGGTTATTCCATATGCATAATGATATTTGAAGAGTAATGAAAGAAATTATCTCACACATGATTCAGAGCTTGTAGCAGTTTTGTTTGCACTTAAAATATGAATGCATTATCTGTGTGGAATCATCAGAATTTGAAGTACATCTTTACTAAGAAACAACTGAAATTAAAGTAGAGGCAAAGGAGATGGTTGTAGTTTATTAAAAACTTTGATTTGGATATTTAGTACGATTTGGAGAATTCAAATGTGGTTGTGATGCATTGAGTAGGAAGACTTCAAATAATTTGAACTATTTATTTACTCAGCTAGATTAGTTACTTAAAAATTTGGAGAAGCTGAAGCTTTAAGTAATTAATTATAGTAATGACATCACATTTCAATTAAATTAGTTGTAGTCTACTTTGAAAGGAAGAATCGAGAATTCATTAGCTAGAGATAGTAGTGTTTATAACATCTCGGAGTAGGTTACCACTGGTAGTTTGGAGAAGTATGCATTAGATTATGGTGGTTTTTTGAAATGTAAAGACAAGTTTTATTTTCTAAAGGTTGATAATCAAAGGAAGGAAATTCTTGAGGCGCATTTATCTAGCTATGAGTAATAAAATGTGCAGGGATCTCAAGAAAATTTTTTGGTGACTAGGATTGAAGATAACAAAATTTGTGGCTAAATATATTTCATGTCAGCTAATGAGGGCAGAACATTAGTTGGAAGTCAATTACAATCTTTATAAGAATAGAGCGGAAATGAGAGGAGATTGCTATGGACTTTGTGCTTGGATTGCCTAGATTACATGAGGGTTGAGATGCTATATGAGTAATTATCTACGAAATGACTAAGTTTGCTAATTTCTTACCAATTAGATTGACAGATCAGTGGAGAGATTAGCCAAATTATATGTGGATCAAATTATGAGATTGCATGGACTGCTAATCTTTATTTTCTTCGACGGTAATGACAAATTTACTTCCAAATTATGAAAGAAGGTTCAAAAAGATTTTGGCATCGGATTGAATTTCAGTACAACATTTCACTCTTTAGGTAGATGTTAGTAAAAAAAGACTATTCAGACTTTGAAAGATCGACTAATGTTACGTGTCATCGACTTTGGTGGAGGATGTGAAATATTTCTTTAGTAGAATTTGCTTATATTAATTGCTAGGCTAACATTGAGATGACTCTATATGAAGTTTTAAATGTGAGAAAGTGCAAAACACCTTTATGTCAGTCTGAAGCATATGAAAGAAAGGTCATTGTAGCTGATTTGGTTGATGATGCTTTTGAGAAGATTAGACTGATCAGAGACATACTAAAGACAATACAAAATAGGCAAAGGAAATCTTAAGATGCAAGCATAGATTGATGGAGTTTGAAGTTGTAGAGTTTGTCTTCATCAAGGTTAGTCATTTGAAGGTTGTGTAAAGGTTTAGAAAGACAGGAAAATTGAGCCCTAGATATGTAGGTCCATATGTGATTTTGGAGAGGATTGAAAAGGTGAATTACAGAGTGGCTTTACCAGCTCATCTATAAGGAGTGCATAATGTTTTCCACATTTCCTCATTTAGAAAATATATAACAGATGAATTTAGTTGGGTGATTTCAGACTCAGTTGATATTCAACCTGATTTAGTTATATTGAGCAGCTTGAAAGGATTTTGGAACATGAAGTGAAAAAGCTTCGTAATAGAGATCCCATTTATGAAAATTTTATGGAAGCATGGATCAGAGAAGGATGCTATTTAGGAGAAAGCTCTGAAATGCAAGAAAGCTATTATAATTTTTCATTTGAGGTATGTTTACTTTTATAATACTTTTCAAGTTCGGAGGACGAAATTTTGTATAAGAGAGATTGTAATAACTGAAATTTAATAATGATAATAATAATAAAATAAATAAAATGTTGGGAAAATAAATTTCGAGTCGGCATGGTGTATAACCGTCGGGATGATTTTACTTAAGTGACAAGTGTCTCCTTCTACCCAAAGGAACTGAAACCGAGAACAAGTTAGCGAGAAGGAGAGCAGAGAGCGCAATTAGAAGCATCAGAAATGAAGGAAAAAAGGTTTGTTTCCAGCCAAAAATTTTCAGTTGTTCTGTGAGTGAAGAAGAAGCCATAAATGTAATTACAATGAAGGAGATGAAGGAAGAAGTAGAGGTGGAAGAAAAAAGAGTCATGTGTATCTCTAATGTGATTCGAACCTGTGCCCTAGCAGTAGGAAACGACGCAGTGCGAAGCAATAGTAGAAGGGGAGGAGAAGGCTTATGCATGCGGCGCTGGGTTATGCCAAGACCAAAGAAGGAACGAGGGGTACTCGACGTCGTAGTGGTGTGAGGGGCTTGGTTGAGACGCGACCTTCAGTAGAGGTGGTAGCTTGAGTGGTTTCGTGCTTGAAGCTAGGGCAACCGGTCGAAAATATAAAGATAGATAATTTAATTAATATACAGTTATATAAATACAGACACAAATATATATATGTGCACGTGTGTGTGTGCGTGCTAGCTAAATAAGTGTTAATAAAAAGTTACTCGATTCAGGATTTTAACTTTTAAGCCCCAAGTTTGAGGGGGGTATGGTCACGTGAATTTTTTGTGCAAGGAAACAGAAAGCCAAAAGATTACAACTGTATGTTAAGGTTTTTAATATGTTTAATGAATTTGATTTGTGCATGTTTGTGTTTTTGTTAATTATATAATGTTAATAGAAAGTTAAATTAAAACAAGGCCCTTTAAGCGAAAGAACTTTTACTTCGTATGATTGGGAGGCGAAAATTATCGACTTCATATTATAAGGAGAAGGTAAATGTTGAAATTTTATTTCTAGTAATTAAATAATTGGTAATCTAAATACCCATGTGAAGTTCAGGAATCGAAGGATGATAAATTTTTAGGATTTGAGGAAGAGGTGAATCAATCATGTGAAGTTCAAATCAATCAGGAATCGAAGGACGATAAATTTTTAGGATTTGAGGAAGAGGTGAATCAAAACTTCAAAGAAGGATAAGATAAAGATTATATATTAATTATATAAATTATTTTAATTAAAGATGGCAGTTTCATATAAAAAATTTTATGAATTAATTTTAGTGAATTTAATTTACGAAGCGGTTGAATTAAAGGATGATAGAGAGATTCAAAGATTTTTTGTGATAGAGGAAGTGAAGTGAAAGAATAAGTATTTCATAATTCATTTAAAGACAAAGGTAAGTAATTATGTTTTTATAGTATTAAATTAATATTTTATTTTTGAATAATTGCTCTATTAAGTGGTATAAAAATAAATATTTTCATAAATAGTATGGAAATATTTTATATATGAAACTACATTTTAAGAGATTTTTAATTGATATGCAATGATAATTGAATGATTAAGTTATAAAGGATTATTCACATATGGTACTGGCAGGGGAAGCGATGCACCCGTGCATGATAAAGGAAATGGTAAATGTTTATTTTCTGGTGCAAATTTTGTGGGTACCTTTAGGCATATTTTTGAGGATATGACGGTAATCTTGATATGACTTCTAAAGAGGCTTAAAAGAGTAAATATTTTCATTGAAACGGGAAGAGAGAAATTTAAAATGAGTTTATAGTTTTTGAGTACAAATAATCATTGATATTTATAGTGATTTTAGATGCTCAGTACATCATCGAATCATTGTTTATCACACTTTCTTGTTTATGTTTAATATCGATGATTATTTGATGAATTGAATGTAAGAGTTTGCTTGTAACGATTTAATAAGATTAATTCCTTGGCTATTTGATCTTGATGAGTACAAATCAGGATGAGTATTAATGAAAATTATGTCCAAGTCATCCTCTTCTGTTGCACCTCTTTTAACCCCAGGGCATTAGCCATTGTAGGACATTTATTTTGAGCCTTTGAGTTATTTGGACCATTTCTTGTATTTGAGCTGTGTTATGGTTCATGTAATGTGACAAGTCACATAGATTAGGCATTTGTGGATTTAAGCATACGCCTAAGCATTTCACCTATTTTCTTAGCAAAATTTGCCTATTTTAACTATTCACTTGAGGACCTCCGCTAAAATTGCCTTGCCACCTCATCTTCCCCATCACCACGTGCCTCTAATTATTAGCTTTGGAATCATGTTGATTTATCTTAAGTAGATATGTATCGAAACATACCTGGACTAGTTGGACAGCAAAAGTTAAATTTTCTTCAAATCCTCCCACCATGGCTCCATTTTTCATGCTAAAAACGTGCATACTCTTCTCCTCTTGTTTTGTTTCTGTTCAAAGTCTCTGTATACCACCATGTTTAGAATAAAAATGTTGAGGATTGTTGAATAAATTTGCTCTTTATTATTCTTAATACTATTTGTTTGCCCGTGTTCATCCTCCAAGTGAAGAATTAGTTAATGGTGTAGTTAGCGAAGCACTAAAAGGTCTTTAGGGAAA